CCCTTTGCCCAGTGTAGGAGCTAATGGTTGAACTCCCCCTTTATGGTTGTTGTTTCCATTCTGGTGTTGTACTAGAATGGTTAAACTCCCTTAGGCATTGATAAATGTCATTCATGGCATCTGGAGGTGCTGGTGGTGGTGGGTTTGCTTGACCTCCACGTCCACGTCCACGTCCACCGTCCACCATTTATTCTACACATCAAGTTATAGTTTAGTTTTCTTAATGTACTAGAAGCCCTAGTTATCACTTTAATCTAAAGCATACGACTTGTATAAGATTTAAGTCAACAATTTCATGCAACCTAGTCCTACCTCTCTAGTGGTAATCCATAACTTACAACTCTCATGTAAGACCTAATTCCTAGGCTCTGATACCAAACCTGTAACACCCCAAAATCCATCCTGGTAGGCATTACTATCTATAACCATTCATATTATGAGAACAACTAATAAAATCCATAAATAACGAAAATTTCATTCATTATCCATAATAACTAAACTATCATCCAAAAGAAATATGTCAAACTATGTCAATTACATCTAAAAGCTAAATATTATCTTGCAGTGAAATAAATAAAATATTATCCTTAAAATTGTCTTATAATTAACCTCCCAAGCTAAATCATAAAGGAAACATTTCTAAATATCCACCTCGGGATCCAAGTTCCCATCAATCTGGGCTTCCCAATTTATATGCTTATCCAATCCAAGTTCTTCCTCTATACCAAAATTTGAAAAGATGTTGTTTGTAAGGGGTGAGCACTAAGCTCTGTAGGAAGATCCTCCCAAGCTCGAATAAGGTTTTGAAAACATATAAAACAGGTCGGTCTTATTTTACCAAAATATCATATATATAACTTCTGGAATAAAACAATGATAGTTTATCATATCTCAAGTTTACGTAGTAATAATAAACTAACTCTCAAATAATAAAGCATTACCAACATTGTATCTTAGGTATATAGTAAGACTTCGCATGAATACACACATTGAGAATATCTTGACCCATACACACATTCAATCCTCGCAATGATACACAACTTTAGGAAGGGTATACAATGTCACATCAGCAGTGACGAATCCAACATAAGAATAGTATACTAGCCTTCAGCCTCAATACTCGTGAGCGAATAGTGGTTTGATCCCCGCAAGACATCAATCTTACTACATGTGGTAGTGAACCTTCAAATCCATTCGAATTAAGAAATGCATCTATCCATTCTACGATACCTGGTCAACGGTCATTCATAGTAATCAAAATATCTACACAAGAGATACAATACCAAACCAATTCATCAAATCATAGGTAAACCAAGAGCCCTAATTCAAAAGGTATTTTTCCAATATAACAACTCAAGAAAATATGCAAGAGATCATCAAGAAATATAATTTTATTGTTCCAACAAAACACTAGAGTTTTTAAATCAAGAACAATGGAATATCAAAATTAAAATCTTTATTTCTTGAAAACTAGGGTTTTGATAACAAGAACAAAAATTTTTATGGCTATCAAACGATAACCTCATTGAAGACATGATACGATTTGCAAGAAAACCAAGAAATAATAATTTCATAACATATATATATGATTTAGAATCAAAACATAGATATATATTAATCATATCCTCAATGAACAAGTTTAGGAAGAAACCTCTACCTCGATTTCGTAGTGTTTGAGTGAAAATGTAGCGTGTTTGATCCATTCCAACGTGAAAGTCCGCCTTAATCTAGTGTTTCTACTCTTCTTTCTTGCTCTCCAAGACTCTCTAGGGTTAGAATTGATGAAATAGGGCAAGGGAAGACATCCTTGGGTATTTATAGTATGAGAAGACAGTCCAATCGGTGCAAATCTGAAACTCAAAATCGCGACCTCATGCTCGAACTAACGGTTGACGTTCGAACTATCTACCTGACGTTCGAACGTTGATTTCTCCCAGTAATTTTGTTTTCCATTAGAGTTCTATCAGACACAAAAGTATTGGGACTAATTGTTGTTTGAACAGATCCATTTACGTTTGAACGGACTCCCATTTTTAGCTGAACTTCCAATGAAATTTTAGCCTATTTAGAGGTCGATTTGGAAAATTTTTGTTAAATATTTTTTTGTAGCCCTAGAAGTCTAGTGTCTGCTGTAAACATTTCACATCAAACAGACATTAGCGTAAAAAGTTATGGTGTATATACTAAAATAGTGTCAAATTCCTTCCTACCCAAATTCTATCTAAAATGTACTTTAACTCCAGAATACTTCCTAACTTCCACTTCACACCCTATTAACTCACCTAAAATTTTTATTTCTACTCTTACAATCTATATAGTTCATGCTTACATCATTACATATATGAGCATTTCAAAATAATTACGTTACTATATGAAGATAAGAATGTGGGGGTTTATAATAGTGAGAAAAAATTTCTCGTCAAGGACGTCTACTTTTAGAGATTATAAATTGAACCTCTGAACGTAGCTCCGTAGTGTCTCATTAGGTCCCTGTTTCACATTCAATAAGTACGAGACGAATGAGATAGAGTGCTCCCTGATGGATAAAATGGATGTTGAGGTCAACCTAAAGAACCAGGCTAAGGTTGAGCCCTTCAATGTAATGGAAAAAGCTCAACAACATACTGGGTCTTGGTACCTATGTAATTACATCTGGTTTTTATCAGTGTTGAGATGGTCTATAGGATCCTTCGTTCCATCAAAGGTCTCTATCTAAAGTATTCTAAACTTTGGTGGAGGAAAAAAATGCAGCACCTCTGCAATAAGGGGAGACTTTGTCTGCTCGATCAGGGCATCCATAGTCACTAGGGTTTTGCCCCTTACAACCTTCTTCATATGGCTGAGCTCTTGTTGAATCCCCTTGAAGCATTGCTCTCAGTACTGCTAATTTCTTTCCTGATGGTGTAGGGGAAACTCGCTCTTTGAGTCCCATTGTTCTGGCTTTGTACTTCCTCGTCCTCTCTATTCTTTTGAGCTCATCGACATATGTTGTCGAATGATTAGTTGTGTTCATTCTCCTCCGTATTTTCTCTTAAGGGATTGATTCATTGATGTTTCCTATTCTGAGGACCATCCTAGGCTGGTTGTGCCCTTTGGGAACATTGGAGGAGGTTCAGTAACTCCTTATTCTGCTGGAGGAGGCGTTGGTTGGCTAGGCGAATGGCCTCAAGCTCGTTATTCGAAGGAGGATCCATCATGGGTGGGTCAACCTCTAGATTAGATAGGAAATCACGAGAATTTTTCTATTGCCTTTTACTGGCAACCTCTTATTGGTTTTTGCAATTGAAGGGGGTTTATCTGACTTCGACTCATATTGTACGTAGACACCATCAATTACTGAATATGATCAGTAGAATTTTTCACAGGAACAATCATTCCCATAGATGGCACCAACTGATGATGTGTTTAGCACGATAGAGCAGAGATGAGAGATTGATGGGTCACTAATTAATTTAGTATGAGCTCCAAGGCTCTTAAGATTTAGACAAGGGAAATGGGATTAACACACAAAGAGTTTATATTGGTTCACAAGCTCGAGAGCTCGCCTAATCTACTCTCAAGGGAGTCTATTGCTCCTAGGAAATATATTAATAAAGAGGGGGATTACACAGATTATTGGATTAGGCTACAATTGCTTATCTTCCATTGTGAGGGATATGCCCCATTCTTATAGTCTTCAAAGGCTTCATATGATTGAAAACGTGATCCTCGCCTTCCTTTCTTAATGTCTGCACTTGTTATGCAATTGCTAAGGATACCATTGAAACGATTACGGCTTCTTTGCCCAAATGCAAGGTCGTTACATTATGTCTGGTGCTTGGATGGAAACCAGTTGTCGTCTGTGTCATGCATGTGTAGGTATGGTTGCAGGGGAAGAGGTTTCGACCTCAGGTTCCATAGTCAAGCGAGATGAGTTGAATGACCTGAACTTAGACATCCCGAGCTCAATACCCTAGATCAACCTTACTCATATTTAGGATATCATCAGGTCTAAAGTGAGAGGAGGGGGAGGGGGATTGGGATTGTGTGGTGTGGTAGGGTGGTGACTGTTGGAGGACGTTGGTGGAGGTGGCTGATATGGGTGGAGGTGGCTGATATGGGTGGAGGTGGTGGCGGTGCTTCAATTTTTCAATGGTTAGGGCTAAAATAAAGTTGGGAAAAATACATTTCAGAGGTTTATAAATGTATGTATTGTGTTGTACAGGGGTTGGGGAAAGGGTAAGAGGGAAAGGTGGGGGGAAGAGAGGGAGATAAAACCTGTTTGATTAGGTTGTAGAAGTTTCTGAAGTAAGTGAGAGCATGTGGTGGAGGATTGTGGTGGTGGGGGTGGTGACTAGTGGTGGAGGACGGTGCTCGGATGGTGGGGTGGCAACTGGTGGAGGGAGAAAGAGTTAGGGCTCACGAATTAGGGATGGAATGAGAAAGAAAGAAGAAGAACATGTTAAAAATGTAGACTGGCGTCTTCAAATATGTGTTTTAAATTAAAAATCGTCAATTTAACTGGCACTTTCAAAATGCAACATCACCTTTATTTTTTTTGTGCTAATAGTCCCCCTCTGGTAGGTTTGTTTAAAATGCGATCAAAAGTTTAGCCTAACTTTTTAGAATGACTACTATAACCCAAGCTCCTCAAATCGAACTAGTGATTTTATTTTAAAGGTAGATATCTATTTGACTGATGTTTTAAACTTCAAAAACATCAATTGCAATGACATTTTTAGAAACTTTTTGGGTTTGAGAAATAGTTTCAAAATTATACCACTTTGAGAATTATTTTGCCAAACCAATTAGGTTTGGTTAAAAGCTCCTTTCATTTATTTAGTTGGATTTGTTTGTCATCTACATTCGTCAAAGGAAAATATATATTATATATTTTTTTTTACTTTGGCCAGGTTTTATACGAAGATGAGTACTTTTACTACGCTGAAGAAATCGATAAGGAGGAGCTGATCAAATATCTAGTACCCAATGAATTTGTTGAGGTCCTTCGCAATAGTGGAATGCCAAGGTAAAATGATCATAAAAATAATTAATCTATAATATATCTTATTAACTTATGGGTTGTTAAGACTTCAAATATACTTAGAATTAATGTCTTCCTCATAAATATTGATGTTCCAATTTTGTGTCAAATCTGAGAATTTTCATGTTCTTGAGTACTTTAAAAACATAATATCTCTTGTTGGACTGGCTCAATCACAAGGCAAATTAGGTAGCTGTGCTTTTTTGAGTTGCTTAGTCGACATGCATACAAACAACTATATATATATATATATATATATATACTCATATTAACAATATAAAGTGTAACTCTAGTAAGAGTTGTTGTAATATCTAATGTTTCACCATTATCTCTCTTCCCATGCATGTACTGATGTACTTGGTTTTCTTTGATTGAACAATAGAAACAAGGGTACATATCACATGAACGAATATATATATATATATATTTTTTGATTTTGAACCAAAGTAACAACATTTATTGTTTTAAATGTTCATTTCAAATAAAGGTGCAATTTATTATTGTGCATATTCTAGTTTTTGCAAACTAGATTTATATATGGTCATTTTGCGCATATTCTAGTTTTTGCTTCATAACAATTTATATGTAACCCCTTGTTCCCTTATGTACAAACTTAGGAAAGACAATGTGAAAAAGCATGTAGCTTTGCGAGCATCAGCAGAGCCCTCAAAGAAGTGTTATTGGAGTAGTAAAGTAAAGCCAAAAACAAGAGCTTTAAGAATCCGAGCAGAAAATCATGAAATACCTTTGCCACAAACAAACCGTCGACACATGAATCAAGTAGGAGGAAGCAAGAAAGCTCATGGCTCATCCAAGAAACCAAAGACCAACATTACTCCATTATTTAAAGAGCTGAAGCAGAATGATTTCATCTACTACTTTTGAACAAGAAAGCACCTAAGAATAAGGACCTAATGTGGGATTTTGTTCAAGAAATATACATATGTTTATTTAATTATCTATTTTACGTGACTTTTAGTTTATTAAATTGTTTTAAACCATGAAAATGGAGCTTCATGTGACTTCTTTTATTTATTTCTTTCTTTCGTAGATAAAGATAGACTATCTAAACTTGATAAACTCCTCGTTATGGAATGGTATTTAGCTTCATTTTATTGTTTTTCCTCCAGCAGAATACTCAAAATTACGTATGTTTAATCATCATATGTTTATGTGACTTTTTTATTATATTAAATTGTATTAAACAATGAAAATGGACCTTCATGTGACTTCATTTATTTATTTCTTCCTTTCATAGATAAAAATAAACTATTTAAACTCGATAAAATCCTTATTTTGGAGTTGTATTTGGCTTCATTTTAAGTAGTTAACGATGAGTTTTAGTGAATAACCAAATATGTTTTTTTTTTTTCGTCACAAAGCTCTTAAATGGTGGAACAGAAACTTTTAGCGACAAATCGGTTGTTGAAGTAGGAGACAAGTTGGAGTGTTAGTAAAGTGGATGTTACACCTTGCACCCATAAATTCCAATATAATTGGTAATAAGGTACCTCGTTTAGAGCAATTGAGCTTTCAAAATGAGGGCGTTGAGAAAATCATTTATTGATTTGGGAGTGATAAATGGGATGGAGGACAAGAAAAGGAGCACGAATCCTAAAGCAATTTAGGGAATGTAGTCCGAGATTTGACTCATGAATTAGGCATGTCTAATCAGAGTATACTTATTAAGGAAACTATATATATATGTTTAGTGACAAAAAAATATTATTGTCGCTCAAGGTATGATGTTGAAATTATTTAGTTGTTTGTCGTCACTAAAAATATATAATTAGTGGTGAAAAAGTATTATTGTCACTAAAGATATGATAGTGAATCTAATTAGTGACAATTTAAATATTGCTAATTCATCACTAATTTCAAATATTTAGTGACAACAATTTAAATTTAGTCACTAATAATATAAAATATTAGTGATAACATTTTATACTTGCAGCAAATATGCCTTGATTTTAGTCACAATTTTTTTTTGCCACTGTATAAATATTAGAAAATAAGTTGACGCTGGTAAATGTAATATAAGCCCAAAAAAAAAAAACTAAAATTCTTGCCCTTCATATAATACGAACGGTGCTTTAAAATATATATATATAAAACACGAACGACACCCTTTTTTTTTTTATATTTTCCCCAAATCATTTTTTGTTCAAGTTCTACCAATCTACCATGGACGACCAATCTGCCATTGATGACCTCTCTGCCATGGACAATCTCTCCTAATCCATCCGCTAGGGCAGATCTGCAGGTATTCATCAACATTTGATCCTGAGGTATCGACCGCTTCCCAATTTTTCTGCAGCAGTTATCCCTCACACAATGGTCAATTCTTCCCAAATCTTCTTCAGAGATCATCTTCTTCAGCCTCTCTGCCATGGACGATCTGTGCTAATTCGCCCGCTAGGGCATAGATCTGTAAGTTTTAACACTAGACCTCTCTCCAACAGATTTGTAAAGATCATGTTCTTCAACTTTTGATATGTCTACCATCAACGATCTCTGTTTCTGCATCTTTTGCTGGTATTCACCAGTCATTCTATCTCACGCACACACACACACACACAATCATACACTCAATCATACAGACAATCACACTGTCTTCACACACACACACACACACACACAAACACACTCAATCGGGATCTGTATAGCCATAGATTATGGCCTGTAAGTTGCTTTTGAGAGAAATTTGTAGCTTGCATCTTCATACTATGCGATGAATTTGGCAAGTGGTAGCTTCATATATATATGAATTTGCGTTGAAAAATTATTTAGCGCGATCTTGTGATAGTTACGATTTTTTCGAACTAGGAATTTTATGTGTGGTGAGTTAGTGGAAATTATTGCAGTGTTTGGCCTGTTGTTTCTTTTTCTTTTTTTGATTCTTTTCTTTCCTCATCTGATTGAATGATCGGGCCATTATTCAGGAACTTAATTACTTATTTGCTATTGAATCCATGCTGACTCTGCAAATAGCATGATTGAAAACTATGTATCTGAGTTAATGGTGAAGGCTTGATTATAGTCGGTTACCTTGAATCATCCTAATCTTCTTCTTGAAGCTCTGAAATCAGATAAAATCATATAGACAGCGATCACTTGCATAGTATTTGGTGTGTGTGTTCGCAAGAGAAAGAAACAGAGCAAGTAAATCTCATTTTCCTTCCAATCATGTTTTTTCAATTTTTCATTCGTTTACTAATTCTATTGCTTCCGCTGGTTTTCTTATTAATTTCATTTGAATTTGCCTCAATGTCCTAAATTTCTGGTGTATGCTATTTCTACCAATATTGTTTAGTCTGTATATAGTACCTTAAATTGACATGTTTTGGTATTTGTGAAGGGTGCAGAGGCGTGGCCACAAGTATTTCTGGATGGTATCCACCAATGGGTACCTACAGGGCAACAACATCAGGAAATCTTCTTTTTTTTTTTTGATTGGAAACCTCGGTGTAATTGATCAGTAGACATATGATACTTACTGGTTTTCTTGTTCTACCCTTGGAATAAATTTTCCTTAAATTATCCCAGTTAATTGTATTATCTTGCTTTTCCTCAAACTTGCTTTTCTTTTTTTTTTTTTGGAGGTAATTTCAGATTTGGATATCATTCTATTTTGGGTAGGGTGATTGTCACTCGAACTGGGGTTTTTCTAGTCATGACTTCTGTATGTAAGCTGCAATCGGTGGACAATTGGAACTTGCCTAATGTTGCATATGGGTCAACTGTTGTTGGTTCTTGAGCTCTTGGTGTGGTCTTTTGCTGAATTATAGTTTCATTTCCAGGGAGCTCTGCATGTCCATGATGTTTGCTTATCTCCCCTCCTTCCTTTTTTTGATAAAATCTGAACTCTCCCACCAAGTCTAAACAATCCAAATCTAGATTAGAAGGGGCTTATGGAATTTTAGGACATAACTCATGGCAACTAGACAAAAAGACTGATGGATGTGTACCTTCAAGGTCAGTTATATCTGAGATTGACATTCCTACCCCAGTGGAAGTCTCTTTGTTCTGAACAAAATTATTCTCAGGTAACATTCTATGCAGAAAAAGATATGCTATATATTTACTTAAAAGACCCAGTTTACCTTGAAAGATGGTCAGACGCATGCTTGGGGGTCTAGTGTTTTTGATTGGATTTTGCTATAGAATTATTGAATCTGGTAATTGCAGCATTTGCTATTATAATTTTTTTCTTTTCATGCTTTTCTGTTGTGCTGGTTTTACGTGAATTATGGTATTATGGATACCAATTCTTGTTGCTTTGAATTGTTCTAACATTCTATGGAAGATTTAAGCTGTTTGAGAGGTAATTAAAGATTTAAGGGGTTAGTAGCTATCAATTAGATGTATTATGTATGTAATGTTCTTCTTTGCTTCTTTTTTTTTTGGTTGATTTGAACTTAACCATTTGACATTCATTATCATGGGCTTCTGAATTAGTGTTTTAATTAAAATGTAGTGTGTTTCTTAATCTTCTTGTAACAGTGAGGACACTGGAGGACAACCTTGAGCACCATTTTTTCTTGTAATACTGCCTGACATGATTCAAGTATGTTTTTTTTGAGTGATCAGTTATTCAACATTAGTTTGCTTTCATCTTTAAATACATGTTGATGGGAAAGCGAAAATTAATGGCTGACAATTCTAATCATCATGGCTCGGCCTTTAAAGTATGTTATACTCTTTTTGCTTCTTGGCATCTTGATTTCATTTTTGTAACTCAAGTATTTTAACGACGGGTACATTTTTGTAAGGTACAAACAAATGGAAGCTCTGAAAACAGATTTGGAAAGCTCGTCTCCGAAGACTAAAGATGAAAGATCCAATAATCTTTCAAAAAAATATATATGTAGTTGAGACTTAAGACCTTATGATGAATTGTTATGCATTCTTATCCTTTAATATACAGGCATTGTACACGTACAATTTAATGATATTAATATCAAAATTGAGTGTTTATTGATTTCTTGAACTATAACAGGTATGTCAAATTAGAAAATATTCAAAATAAATTCTTTAAAATATTCAATAGGTTTTTTTTAGTTCATTTGAATATTTAGCCACAACAATAAGTTGTCACTAAAAACATGTTCTAAATTTTAGTGGTGATTTTAATTGAGGATAAAATGTATATTTTTAGCTGCGATTAATTGTTGTCACTAAAAATCAAGTTTTAATCGGACTTTTAGTGGCGATAAGATACATTTTAGTGGCAAAATTATGATAACTTACTACAATAATTATTGTAGCTAAATATTTCATATTGCGGCTAAAAAAAATTAATTTTAGTGGCAACAAATTAAATGTTGTAGCTAAATGATTTAACCACGGATATATAGCCGCGGTCTAGTGGCAATAAAAAAGTTGTCACTAAAATATTTTATACATTTAGCCACAATAATTTTTGGGGCTAAAAGACCAATTTTTTGTAGTGATTGCCACTAAATAGTTTGGGGTTAGAATGACTAACCCTAACTATTTCATCAAGTTTTTACCAAAATGCTTCATCTCGACTACTTTGGTGTGAGAAATTTTCTACCTAAATTAGCAACAATTTTTTACATCTCCACTACATGGTAAGCTTTACGGGCGAAATACCATTTTCGCCACTACACAATATGATTTGGTGCAGAGTTGTTAGTGTGACAATGTATTAGGAGGTTAAACAATTTGAATTGCATGTAAATGGCCTGTATGATATTGCATCTAACTCATTATCAACATTTATAACGCATGTCACAGGATAATCTTTTTGCTAAATTTATCCTCTTTTCTCTATTTGTTCATAGTAAAAAGCCATTATTTTTTGTTATGCAGATAATTTTCATATTTTATCTTTTAGTATGTAACTTTCCTCAATTTGAAAACTTGTATCACATCTATCTAATAACTTTTATCATTTCTATCTAATACTTTGATCAGAATGAATTTGTATTCTTATTCATGTAATGAGGGGTTGTTTCGTTAATCGAACTACCCACATATACCAAGTGGTCTTTTGGCGAGTTCTTTCTCTTGCAGTTACGAAGATTGTCCTAATCAAAGAGGTGACCATGATAAGCACTTGCCTAGTGTTGGTGAATATGAAGTGAGTTAAATAAAATTATCTTTAATTACCAATCCTTTAATAGTTATGACACTATCACATTATAAAATTATTTGAAGGGAGCAGTGACAAAAAATATAAAGAATAATGAGGAAATAATTGGTAAACATGTGTCTAAAATGTTCAACGAGGAGCAATTTATGGGCACCATCCAGGAGTAAAATAATCAAACTAGATAGCTTAAGGTTTGACCCTTTCTTCTTTTTTTTTTTTTTTTTTTTAAATTGCAAAATGATTATGATAGAATTCAAACCTTGAAAATCTTTTTGACGTATCGTGCATAAGTTACGAAGGTTCATGAGTTGCAAATCCATATAAACATGAACATGTTCACATCTATTGTGCTATTAGTTTTTCACTCTCGTAATAACCCAAGGAGGTATCTTTGTTGTATTGAAAGATGAGTTTAGTAAATAATTGATTTAGTTGGATTTGTTCGTCATCCACATTCATTAAAGGAAAAAAAATTTCTTTGGCCAGGTTTTATATGAAGATGACTACTTTTACTGCACCGAAGAAATGGGTAAGTGGGAACTGATCGAATATGTAGTTCCCCGTGAATCTTGTAAACTCCCACATGTTCATCTTGATATAGTGATGCAATTATTTATGTATTGCTTATGTATGTAATGATGTAGGAATAAATTAAGGATGGATAAACTATGCATGTAGTGATTATAGAAAAAAAAAAAAATATGTTTAGAAGCTTGAAGTTTGGGGTGGTCACTCATATGGGAAATAAAATTTATTAAGTTTTAAATAAATTTGGACTGAAATAACTAGGTCAAAATTTGAGACAGATGTAAGGGACAGAGAGTTACCTCCATCCGAACGGTGAAGAGCCATTCAAACAGTGCTTCGATACGAGCTTCCGTTCGAATGCACATGCCAGGTTGGGGAATTCTAGAGGATTTCTACTATTCGGACACATGGGGTCCGTTCAAACAGCACTTTTGACGATACAGGCATCCGTTCGAACGCATGACAGTTGTTCGAACACGCATGTTGATACTGCTACTTCCGTTCAAACACACGATAGCCGTTCGAACTTGCATCTTAGTTTCAGCCCGATCAGTTTAGCATCTTTGCTTTGATTTTGGGGTCATATAAATACATATGAATGGGTTTTAGTCTATTTTTATTATTATTTTAACCCTAGAAAGCTAGAGGGAGTTGGGGAAAAGAAAAAGGGAGATAGTTCAATGGATTAACACAAGGAATAGCAACAGAATACGTTAGGATCAAATTCTACGGGAATCACGGTAAAGGATTCTTCTTAAATTCTTTCTGTTGGAGATATAACAACCTAGTTTATTAGAATTTATTTTGTTTTACCATGTTGTCCTTATTGTAAACTTTCATTGACTATATATATGGGGGCTCTACACTTAGTTTGTATTCCTTTTGGACTCACATATTTCTCTAGTTGGTATCAGAGCCAAAACCCTAACCCCTACCTCTAACCCTAATCCTAGTCTCTTATACCTTGCTACCACAACCCAACAAACACCTACCGCCCAACGAAACCACCTAGCACTCCATCAAACCGATGACATTAAACTAACAAACAACACCCATCGACATCAACTTATCCTCACCAACGAAACCGATAGCAACAGCCGCTACATACCACCCAGTCGAAACCACCGAACACTCCACCAAACCAGCAAACAATACCCTACCAGTCCACTGTCCGACATACTCAGCCAACCCCCAAGTCCACAGGCTGACATAAAAGACTCCCATAACCAGTCTACCAAACCATAAAGCACCGACCAGTCTGCCATAAAGCACCGACCAGTCTGCCAAACTAAGTGTAACCCAATACCCAGCAAACCCAAAACCCATCAACCCAAATACTCCAAATATACCGACAAGCCTTCACATCCTGACTATAAATCAAACCTAAGGCTAGCAACCCAAAACAGCCCATACAAAACCAGCCACCCACCGACCCAAGTGTCAGGCCTACTATTGGGTTATTGTCAGCCCACTCATCAACTTACTATCGAGCGCATTTTTCTTTGTAGCTTTGTGCTTCGCACTTTTCGTCATAGTGCTGTCATTTTTTCACACCACCTTTCTTTTTCCTAGGTTTGTAGTATCTAGGACCTTTTAAGAGTTGAATCCCTTTTTTTTTCGTTGATCTGCTCTTGATGCAGTAGATCACTTATTTATCTTTATTGGATTTTTAGACACCGTGACCTTAATTATTTGGGAGCTTTCTGGACCTTCTTTATCTGTCGTTACTGTTCGACTAGAGGTATATTATTCTCCCTTATTTTGTCCCTCTATTTATATTAGAGTTTTTTTTTTCTATCATGGGTGCCCACATATTTTTATTGTTATAGCTACTACGAAGGGATTTGAGACCTCTATGGTTGAGACCTTCGATGTTAGTACTTCCACCTGGAATGTACATCCTAATTCTCGTCAGTGTAATTATTATGGCCGACCAGGCCATCTCAGGGCTACTTGCTAGAAGCTCTATCCGAAGCTTAAGCCGCATCCTCGCAGCCGTATTGCTGCTATTGTTGAGGGTCCGACTACTGCTACTACCACCACTACAGGTATACCTCGTGTCTTTCATGCTTGCGCCAGTTCGGCTCCCCTTTGGATGTTAGACTCGGGTGCGAATGGTCATATGACAGATGAGGCCCATCACTTAACTACTTTTGATGAGCAGTTACATACACAGGTTCAGCTAGAAGATGGGACACATGCCTCTATTATTAGTGAGGATACATAACATTCGATTTTTCATGCACCAAAACTGGCCATGAATCTATTATCCGTACATCAGTTAGCCAGAGATTTTTACTGTGCGGTTGTATTTTTATTTGATTCGTGTTATTTGCAGGACCTGAGTACCAAGATGATTATTATCAGGGGATATGAGAGAGATGAATTGTATTATCTAGGCAATCCA